AAACAAACTAATCTGAGAAAATTAAATGCTTTACCTTCCAAGGATACAGCAGTGACAAGTAAACTAATCTGCATTTCAACTGAATCAATGCTAAAAGGAAATGACTGTCAGAGAAAACAAACTAATCTGAGAAAACTAAATGATTTACCTTACAAGGATACAGCAGTGAGAAGTCAGCTAATCTGCATTTCAACTGAAACAATGCTAAAGGAGACAGACTACCTTGACCAGGTGTTTATCCCTATCTACCTTCTCTCGAGTTGGATTTCTAGGGATTTGAATGGTGGTCCTAGACGCACAGGTGAGAAGCATTTTAGGGTAGGTGCCTCGCCCAGGTCCTAGGCACAACACTTTCAAAAGGCACATGCCTGGTGCACCTAGGCATGCACCTGATGCGCCTTGGCCCAAGCATATGCCTTTTGAAAATTGTACACTTTTTTTTTGCTTTTTTTGAACCTAGCAGCTGGGCTGGGGGCTCCACACCCCTCGAGGCAATCCCAAACAAGTCCATGTTAAGGTCTTAAATTCTTAATTCTCACACAAAAAATAATGATTTTATAATTTTAATCGTCTTTTAAGAAGATATTGTATTAAGATGAATGAATAAACAACATTAGCAAATAGGGGGTTCTCAGAGCTTCAGTGAGTGAACGAACCAGAGCAGACTTGTTTGGGATTGCCTCGAGGGGCATGGCACAAAGGCGACTTGTAGAATCAGGACTGTAATATATTTTACATCACATTAGCTACTTGAAGTAAGCAATTGAGCAAAAAAAAAAAGAGATTGTGGGCTTTACGTGCTTGAAAATGTTTTATATGTTTTATTTTTTTTTTTAATTTTCATTTGAATATGCTTTACATGTTATGTTTATGTATTTTAATTTTATATAATAGGCTTTTTAAAACATTAATTTTAAAATTTAAGTTTATATTTCTTATTAATATTATGTTTAATATTGTTAGCGTAGGGGTATTTCTAACTTTTTACCTTGATTGATGTTGTTGATCTGTAATGTTGTGTTGAAACATGTGCTCTTAACTTAAGTAAGGGCACATTAGATCTTTTCAGTCATGTTTTAATAATAATATAAATACTTACTGGCCGACTGGGAGAAGTCAAGTTGACTCTTTCAGTTCGAACCAGAATTCTCTCTTTCTCTCTTTCTTTATCACTTCTTCTTCTTCTACATAACTGAACTCAGTTAGGCCGAACTCTAAGGCAGACCTGAATTATAACAAATATTTTTGAACTTTTTGCATTTTTTGAATTTTATTACTTTTTTTATTTTTCAGCAATCTTTTGCATTTTTACGCCTTGCTCCAAAAAGGCATGCACGCCCCGCCTTGCGCCTTGCACCTTGCACTTTTAAAACACTTTATCTAGAAGTAATCGCAATTTGATATATAACCTGTCCTCATTATCATATGAAATTTGTACTGAATGTTGTGAGGATTGGTCACAAGCTATTGCCGCCCATTTCTGTTCAGTTTTTTTTCTCTCCTTCAAATGTAGGGCTAGCATCTTCACTTAAACTACTTTTACATTTTTGCTATATGCACATATATCTTTTTTTATCAATAAGAAGATTTTATTATAAAAAGAAGAGAAAAAGCTGCAACTGTTTAGGGAGAGGCACGAGTTGCAACCTCTCCCAACTAAAAAGAAAACAAATTACACCTATGCCCAATACAATTGATCCCTATTTGCCCCTTGCTTAGCTAAGCTATCAACTAGACCTGTTCATGGACCGGGCTGGGCCGGGCTTTCACTTGTCACTAATGAAAATATACTAGGCCCGAGCCCTAGCCCGGCCCGACCAACGGGCCTATAACTTGGGCCCAAGCCCGGCCCTAGTAAAAAGCCCAAAACCCGAGCCCGAAGCCCGACCTAATTGAAAAAAAAATAAACAATTTTCCTTATTCAAATTAGAATTAAAAATTCAGATAGTATTTTTTTTCTATTTAAATGAACAATGGGCCTACAAGATGGTATTTTTCCCTTTCTTTTATATTTTAAAACAAAATTTTACATTCTTAAATCAAAAAATTTATTCAAATGGACATAATCACATAACTAATTTTAAGTTTAATATAAGATCGAGCCAGGCCGGGCTCGGGCTGGGCTATTTTGACAAAACCCGAGCCCGGCTCGAATTTTTTGCGAGCAGGGATTTTTGGCCCAACTTTAAGCTCGCGGGCCTATAAGCATGTTCAAGCCCGTCCGGGGGTCAAGCCGGGCCGGGCCAGCCCGTCGGGCCACCCGGCCCATGAACAGGTCTACTATCAACCATAGCATTAGCTGATCTTCCCACCAAATGTATCCTTATAAATATATTCCTTGTCAGCCACTTGAATTTTTTCAGTGCATTTTTGTAACACCTGACTACATTCTCTGGGTTCTGCAGCCACCTCACCACCACCTTAGAGTTACCTTCTATTAGTAGTTGTTGCACTCCTAGTTGTACTGCAAATTGTACCCCTTGGAGGGCGGCTAGTAATTCTGCCCTAGAGGAGTCCCCCACACCTAGAGGACCGGAGTATAAGAGAGCCACATTACCACTTTCATTCCTTATAACCCCTCCCATTCCAGAGGGGCCTGGTTTACCTTGACTACTGCCATCAAAATTCAATTTCATAAAACCTTCAGGAGGGGATGTCCAACTCATATACACCTTGTTCTTTCTTGAGGAGCTACTTGCCACTGCTGCTCAATGCCTCCAAAGATCATTAAAAGAGAACTGGTGATATAAGTACAAAGATTTGGAAGATAACAGCCACCTGTTTCTGCACTGCTCAATATCTGCTAGAATTTGGAATCCTTTTCTCGGTTCAGTGGGCCTTGCTTGGTCAATGCCAGCTTCGGTGAAGGAGATGTTGTGGAGCTGGGGACTACAGGGATTGTCAAAGCTTGCTTCAGCTGTGTGGATTTCCATTCCGGTTGCAGTCATCAGTACCATTTAGGCAGAAAGGAACAAAAGACTATTTCAGAATATCTATAAGGATCCAGAAGACCTGATATCTATTTCTTTTGGAAAGTTGACTTCTTGGGTCTCGGCCTCGAAGCATGGTTCAAAGTATCGATACACCTCTGTGTATCGGTACTTAGATACACAGAATTACCTTTTTTTAGTTTTTTTTAAATTTTGGTTTTTGGGGAGTTAAAAAAGGGTGGGGTAACAGGTGTTTCAGAACCCAAAAGATACGATACGATGCACCCGATACAGGGCGTGTCAAATCGATTTTTTGAACCTTGCCTCGAAGGGAATTCAGGCTGCTCAATCGGGGGCTAGGCTAAATTCTAGGAGCCTATGGCATCTGTAATCTTGTTATGTTTGGGCTGTTTCCCCATCTAAGGTGTTCCATTGGGGGGCCTTTATACTAGTATTTCTTATCAATAAAGTGTACCTTACCTTTTCTCAAAAAAAATAATAATAATAAGTCCAAAGATTTCAGCCACAAAATGGCCCTATGTAATATGCAGTCCTTTAATTCTTGTATGCTTCTTTCCTTCTCTTGAAAAATTCTGGAGTTCCTTTCTTCCCAACTGTCCAGAGCAAAGCTGCACTTGCACACCTCCACATTAATCTTCCTCTCCAATGGCGCCAAGGAAAGGTAGACGGATCAAAAAGCAAACTTACACAGGTTTTTTGAGAAGAAATGTGTTTTAATAGAACCCTCCTGACTGTTTTGTAATCTTTCATGCTAAGATGCTAATAATAGAACCCTCCTGACTGTTTCTTGAAAAGAAAAAGGTTTGCTAGTAAGGCATTAAGTAGACATGCTGCATTACTACATTCTTTAAGCCACATGGGAGAATGACATGGCCATACTGGATTAATGCAACTAATCCTTGAAAGGCTGTTGCAACTAATCAATTAGAGGATGCAAAGTTGTCCATGATATAGTTGACCAAATTTGTCCCCTTTTGAGATCTTAGCCTAAAGGCCCTAAACTAATGCTCCACTTCGATATGTGCTTTAATCTGGCTCAACACTTCTTTTGTTGCACACTTAAACCAATACTCAGCAATCATTTATTAAATTTAATGAAAGGGTGAAGAAAAGGCCCATCTCCAAAATATATTTCAAAACAAGCACATGTGGAATCCAAAAAGTTTAGTTAGATTGATATTCAAGATCAAAACTCTTAACAATGCTCTTGACATCTTAGCTTCAATAACATTCTTTCAAATATCTTAATCTGAAAGAAGATTTCAACATACATTTTACTGAAAGATATCATATAGAATGTAGAAATAGAAACATTATTTACATCCTAAATATCAAAGTCCCTGGGGCTGAGTAGAAGAAACTACCTTGTAAGGCCTCAAAGACGCAAGCCAAGTATCAATAACTTTTACATGAAAAGTGGGTTGAGAAAACAAACTAACTCTCTTCATCAGAATCAAACGATTGTCTTCTCCTCAAAGATTCCAATACATCCAGGGGACGATCTCCTCTAGTAAGTGTTCCTCCCATAGAAGATTTGAGCTTGGGCATACTAATGGAACGAAGTTGTGGGGTGGATGTACCCCGGTTCACTTCCCTTAACACAGATTTAACCGTGGCTGCAGCTGCCACATCTGCCATTGCTGATGCAACTTTGACAGCACTTCCCAACTTCTCAGCTAACCTATCGTGAATATTTGATTCTTTAGCAATTCTGGAAATACTAGTCCCATGGCCTGGGGGTGAACAGTAGTTATTGGCTCTCTGCATGGTCTCAACAGCCTCAGCTACTGTAGACTTGGCCTTGGTTGCTTCATACTTCTGCATGTCATACAAGAGTTCCTTTTGAAGCTGCTTGTCAGCAACCAATATCTCATCAATCTCATTCTTGTAGTCCTTGAGAAGTACTCTTAAGCACTCCATCAGACAACCTGTGAGAGGGCTATTCTTGCTCTCCAAAAGCCGCTTTAGTTCTATGAATATGGGGATAGCATTCTGGATCAAGCCCTTTTTAATTGCTTGTGTTGCTAACCTCCCTCTTGCAGCAGCCAATGTAACTCCTCCACCATCACCCCCTTCCTCATCCATTTCTGTTGACTCAGTTGCAGTTCCACGGTTGGACTGGATCCGGATCTCTTTACATGCAAGTACTTGGAGAGCATCCTGTTATGCCATCCACAAATTTAGCAAACCATTAAAAGAGTAGTTAATACCAAGGTTCAAAATATTGATACAGGCCGATATGCCACTTGCTCGCTTCTACTTTTTTTTAGTTTTTTTTTCAGACTGGTTCAGAGGGGTCGGTTTAAGGCCCCATCATCCCCCTGAACCAGGTCACACCCTGAAACACCTCCTGTAGAGGCGTATCGGTGGCCTCTCAATACGATACATATCGGCCGATACGGCCCGATACGTATGGCAATTTTGAACCTTGGTTAATACATTCACAATACATATAAAAGTTGGATCTAGATTATATACTAAGCAGCTTTCTCACTTGCAAAGTTAACAGAAAACAAATTTGTATGCCAAATATTTTTTATGCATGAATGATACCTACTTCAATATGAACTATTTGCTATAGTTGTCACATGGAGTTGTTCCTTAATGCTGCTGTATTTGGAAATTTAATAGCACCATGCATCATGGAAATCCAATAACTTCATACTATTTAACATTCTAGCTTTTTGTTTTTTCTAGGAAATGTTCTGATTATGGAGTCCATACTGGAGGAGTGGAGGCTGACTTATTGTGGCTGATGGGTTACAGTTTCAGGATACAAAGCTAAGAATAATATTTTGACCCCCACTCTAAAAATTGCTAACTTGTCCATGTCATTTTACATAAAGTAACTAATTTTTGGTCAAATCAAGCATATACCTGCTCCAATGGACCATAAGGTCTCAAGCATGGAACCATCAAATCGGGCATGCAAATAACCAATTATTCTGTTTGGCAGTTAAAATCTTATTACACTAAAGCAGACATGGCATTACACCCATCCACCCAATGACATTCCACTCCCCAATAAAACCAATAAAAAAATGACATGGAAAGTGGAATGATATCCAATCACAGCGGCTATTATGTAGAAAACATGGGGAAATGGAACTCCAGATTCCAGAATTCTATCTTTTCTAGCAAGTAGAATAAATAAAACAGCAGAAGCCATGATCTAGTCATGTTTCAGGAGCATCTACGCTATCAAGCAATTCAGTTATCTATCCCAACATCGTAGATAAGCATATTAAGCCCTTTAAGCTTGCTCTGCATGGTGTCTGGTCATTTGGCAAAGCTAGAAACTATAAATCTCACTCTAGGAAAAGTCCAGCTGAAGTTTTGAAGAAAGAAGCTACTGAACAAGATTTGGAAGCTTCCAATATGGCCATATCTTCAAGGGAGTCTTTTAGTTGTTCAGGAATCTAAAAGTGTTGCATGTATGTGAACCTGGGAAGTAGAAAACAATGCATGTCCTAGAGTCTGAAAACATGGATGCACAAACACATCCTTTTTTTTATAATTGGATGCACTGGAAATGAGGACATTCTCACAGTTTTCCATGCAGATATTTGGAGGAAATGGGGAGAGGTGGCAAGAAGCTCTTCAAGAAAGGAACCGGCACTTTCTCTTTGGTTGCCTCCTGCAGAAGGATTTATTAAGGTCCTTTTGGTTGGGCTATTCTGGGCTTTTGAAAGCCATAAAGCTCAAGAAATTGGGATTACACCAAGTTGAGATAGAAGGAGATTCTAAATTGTTAATGGACTGGCTGCAATCAAGCAAGTTGGGAGCATGGATGTATTAACAAACCATACAGGAAATCCTCAATATAACAAGGGAGTTTGATGCAGGCTTCAAGTGGATAAGAAGATCAGCTAATGGTCTGGCTGATACCTTAGCCAAACAAGGGATAGTGAGGGAAAGTTTGTTCTGGGCAGTTCCGTAATTCAAATTACTTGGGCTCAACTCCTATCTTAGGGGTTGACAATTGTATCTTAATTTTACAGTAATGAACTTACCGTTTCCAATAAAAAAAATGCTAAGCCAACTAGACAAGCAAACTAATTTATAAAAGAATAAAGAAATAAGTAAAAACCAACCCCTTTTTTATATAAAGAATCATCACCTAGGCAATGCCTAAGCAGGTGCCTAGTCACCTATGCAACAAGGCACACAGATATCTCCCAGCATTGACTTGGCATCTTAATAACCACACCTATACCTATAGATAGATAGTAGTCATAAGAGTCGTAAGATCTTTTTGGGTCTTTTTTGTTGAGTTATTGGAGAGCTTTATTTTCTCAGTATAAAGTTAAAAAAGAGGAGAAGAGTTTTCATAAGTGGTTTGAGTTTCACTCTACATTTATTTTCTCCATTTTCAACTGTTTCTACAGTGAGGTGAACAGTTGGTCAGTACCTTCTGTTCCTCCAAGCCTACCTAGGTCAGATTTGCTTCAATATTAGATCATAACTGTAAATGTCACTCCTAGCCTACAAGGCTACAAGGCACACATGAAGGAACACCTCACTTTATCACATACCTATTTTGTTAGTGGCCCAATGATATACTTTTATATTCTTTATTTTTTGAGATTATAACAATAAAAACATTACTAAGAATTTTCTCTACTACTTTAGCCAAAGAGGAGAGTGTGATTGTTGGAGTGAAATTTTAATAAATTCTCATGCAACGTAATTCACTCAATAGAGTGATTGAGTTTTTATTATTTTGGGTAAAGCCCATTTAGGGGATCATATGGATTATTCCCCTTAATTACATCTCCACAAGAAAGTAGAGAACACCTTTTGATTCTAACTTAGAGAAATGAAACACTCTTTCTTTTCTTTTTGATACAAAGAAGATTTCCTTCCCACTCCTTTCTTCACAAATTGTAGTCAATCAGATGAAATTCTAACTATAGACAGCCTTAATCTTTTGGATTTTGTATACAAGAAGGGAACTGTAGTCAATCAAATTGAATATTTGATTGTAGATGGTTTTTATCCCTCTGCTCTTCATTTTCATTTGAAGGGAACCATAATCAGCCTTTGTAAATCTGTAGATGCCGGTTTAATCCCTAACTTTTCTTGACAGAGGGACTATAATCAACCAAGCAAAAGAACTTGATCTAGATGGTTTTTCCCTCTATTTCCTTTCTTAAAAGTAACAAGGGAGAGAGAAGAAGAAGAAGAAGAAGAAGAAGAAGAAGAAGAAGGATACATAGCAAAAGACATATATAGGAAGTATTTACAAAGATGACCTTCCTTCTACCTACATGTATTAGTGAGATTTCTTTTTTTCTTCCTCGTCTTCCCCTAAGAACTTCTCTTTGCTTCTCCATTTATCTTGGTTTTCTTAAGAATCTTTGAGAGTGGTATGCTCTGAGACACAATTTTCTCCAAAGAGGACGCTCTAGTTTCCCCTTAAGGAGCCTAAATAGGGAGTGGGCTAGTTATGCAACTATCCTCTCCCCCTAGGTGAAGGACACCTGTCATTCCCACTTAAAAAGAGGGAACTCTCATACATGACACCTTATTTATTTTTTATGATTTAGCTAGCACACTAGCCAAACTACTTATTTGGGTTATAAGCTATCTAAATATTATTTGGGATTTAAAAAAAAAAAAAAAATCCTTCAACAATGATGCACTTGCTTTTTGGCTATTGTTTCCCAAAGTATGTCTAAGGGTATTATTTTAGCCTTTTCAGCATTGATATGTGGAATCCAAGATAGCCTAAAAGAATTTTTGGTTATTGCCCCTTTCTGAGGGGAAATAAAAAGGCAAAGGTTTGTGGAGTTATATTCGTTTGGCTATGTGTTGCGAAATTTGGAAAACACAAGGACCAAGTTGTTTTCTTTAATGGAAAAAGATTTAGGGATTGGATTATGTTACTACCAAAATTTGAGGGTGTCACAAAGGAGGATTTCGAATATGTAACTTTTGGGTTTTATTAAATCTCATATTTGGGAGGTGAAAGTTTTGTATATTTTGTTTTTTATGTTTGGGGTGACTCCTAGTGGTGCAACTTAGGTAGGCCCAGCCCAAGCATGGACCGATCCAACCCACAATTTTACATGTGTTGGGCTAACAATTAGGAAAAAAATAATAGTAGATAGACAATTATAAAAAGTAGTATATAGACCCACAAAATGAATGTTTTAGTTTAGTAATGTCTATTTTGTTTTTCTTGGTAATAATGAAAAAGAAGTTTTATTAATCAAAATAGGATTGCATTCAAAAGGTGATGAGGAATCACTAGGGGTGCAAGTCGGGTGGGGCTGGGTTGGGTTTAAGCTCAACCTAGGCCCAATGGACCTAAGGCCTAAGCCTAGCCTGTGCCTTAGGTCAAGCCCGGATTGTCCAACTTGGGTCCAATCCGCACTAAAATTTGATGCACTTGGGTTAACTCAAGACCGGATTGAGATAATGTTGGTTAACCAGCCCACAAATTTGATCGTATGGTTACCCAAGGAAGTATGCATATATGCATGCAAATATGTGTGTGTTGTGTGTGTATATATAGTATATACATAGTTGGGTTGGGCTTGGGTTTTAAGTTCTTTGGTTGGGCTTGGACCCAAAAAATTATTTTTCTGGCCAGGCCCAGGTTTAGCCCTTAGGTGGTCCAAACCCAACCCATGTATATACCACACACACACACACTTGCATGCATACATGCATATATGCATACTTCTTTGGGTAATCATACAATCAAATTCGTGGGCTGATTAACCAACACTATCTCAACCCAATCTTGAGTTAACCCAATTGCATCAAATTTTAGTGTGGATTGGGCCCAAGTTGGACAATTCGGGCTTGACCTAAGGCACAGGCTAGGCTTAGGCCTTAGGTCCATTGGGCCTAGGTTGAGCTTAAACCCAACCCAGCCCACCCAACTTGCACCCCTAGTGATTCCTCATCACCTTTTGAATGCAATCCTGATTTGATTAATAAAATTTCTTTCATTATTACCAAGAAAAATAAAATAGACATTACTACACTAAAACATTCATATTGTGGGTCCATATACTACTTTTTATAATTGTCTATATACTACTTTTATTTTTTTTCCTAATTGTTAGAGTTCAATCATCACATATGTTGGTGTTAGGGGTGATCATAGGCTGAGCTCAACACCTATGACAAGGGCTATTGCTTGGACCCGGATCTATGGCATTAAATAATATATTTAGATATTTATAGTATTTTATATTATATAAAATATAATATACATAAATGTTGCATAGGCCCAAGCTAGGCTAGGCAAGACTTTGGGCCTATGACATTAAATAATATGGTCACCCAGCTTGCACAGAAGTCTATTATTAAATAGATGAATTGATAATGCAAAGCTTTCAATTTCATAATTCATCGAGGTGGGACCTTGAATGTCAACTTGTTCATTTCAACCAAAAGGCTAACGACCTAGCATTCAAGGTCCCACATCGATAAATTTTGGAAATGGAAGCTTTGCATTCATCTATTAAAGAATTGTTAATCAAGGCAAATAAGCTATGAACCCATACATGAGTTGACTCGTGGGAATGTGTCAACTTGTAAATCATTATCAAACATGGGGTGCCCATGCAACACTTACGTGTATATAAATTAATGTTTACTTTATAAAATAAAATGTTATATCCAATATATGTTTTATGAGTCATATAATAATTATTATATAGAATAATATAATATAACATAAAACATATATAATATTATATAATATATATAATAAATGCATATAAAGTATAATTTTATATATTATATAAATATATAATATATATAATAAATGCATATAAAGTATAATTTTATATATTATATAAATATATAATATATTACAGGCTTGATCTAGGCCCACCTGAAAATTTCCTAGCTTGATGCATGCCTAAGCCCAGCCCTAAACACAACCTAGGCCTGAAACCAAAAATTTCCAAGTTGGGCCAGGTAGGGTTGGAAATGATCATCCCTAGTTGGTGTATGCTGTCTTTAACCACCAAAGATCGAAAACTTGAATCAATAAGCAAGGAAGAACTTAAAATTTTGTCCAATCAACACAATTTTATTAGGACAAAAAGGCACTCCCCCTATATTTTCTGAGCTTTTTCTTTTGTTATCTTCCCATTATTGTGTTGATTTACTATGAAGTTTATACTTTTTATGAAGATTATAAATAATTACTTGTGAATGATGGTTGTCGGTTTGTGAAGATTATATATAACCAAGGAGACTAGGCAACAAGGAGTGGCAAGAAAGTGCCTCCTTGTCACTAGCCTCGCCTTGGCACCTTGAAAACTATGCATTAGATTTCTGTAGTTCCTGGCTAAGTATCTTAATTATGTAAGTATAAGAGATATACTCATTAAAGAGTCCTTGGGTTTCACTAATGTGTATTTGCTAGTTCCAACTTTAAGAAACAAACATTGGATCAATAGCTCATTGATGTGCATGCTAAGCTCCCTATGGTTTTCGGGCCTACAAGGACTTAGCTATGCCTCCATACCTAGCACCCTATTAGAAAACAGAGTAAAGAGTACCTTAATTGCAGGTGGACCCCACCGCCAAACATTCAAAGTCTGTTTAGCCCCTCGTTCTTTGGTTGGCCAAACAAAAGGGGAAGGATAATGTGGAGATGTGTGAGGGCTGCTATTTGCTGGACTCTTTGGGAGGAAAGGAACACCAGATTTTTTTCTGAAGTTGAAAGAAGTAAAGAAAGCATTATTGAAGTAGTAACAGTGAGGGTGGTACACTGGCTGAAATACTTGGACCTGTTTGTTGATATTTCTATGGATATATTGCTAAATAGCTGGCTGGAGGTGGCAAATTCTGCTCCCGCCTGCTCTTTAGTTTGTCCTGTGTGGTCACCACCAGGAAGTGGACTTATAAAGCTAAACTTCGATGGAAATAGTGAGGGAAATCCAGGTCCATCAGGTGTAGGAGGGGCTTTTAGAGATGAGGATGGGAAGGTGCCCGCTTTGTATTCAGGTCCCATTGAGATTGGAGACTCTCTTAAAGCTGAGGTCTATGCAGTACTGGAGGGGGGTATAAGGAAGTCTAAGGAACATAATATACAAAAGTTAGTCATTGAACGGGACTCAAAACTGGTCTTAAGTTGGTTACAATAAGGTAGTGGACTTTGGGAATTTGCTGATGAGAGGAGGGAGATTAAATGGCTAACTAAAGGACTGGAAATCAAGTTTCAGTGGGTCAAGAGAACAGCAAATGCATTTGCTGATGCTTTGGCAAAGCAGGGGGTGGGAAGGGATCAAATGTTTTGTTCTGTAACTTTTTCTTTTTTGTTATCTTCCTGGAGAGAGTTAGCCTGATTATCTCTCTCTGGAGTGTTGTAACTAGAACTCTTTTAATCTAATGAATTCCAGTTATTGATCAAAAAAAGAGTACCTCAATTGCCATTTGCTATTTGTTAATAGTAACTCCCTTATTCCATTCAGAACAGGCCCCTATCAAATGGGTCCCTTCGCTTCACTCTTTGGAAAAGCACTGAGTTAAAACTTTGAACGAGTTTTAGCCATTTAGCACCAACGGCATCATCAGGAATGGCAATGTATCATCATCTTCCACTAGAAGGCTTCAAAGACCATCAGGAATGGGAACAACCACCTCTTCTTCTTTTTATAAGTAAACCACCTCTAAATTTCATTAAGCTAAATTTTGATATATGTAGCTTGGGCTTTCCATGAGCTTCAAGAGTATATGATGTTTTAAGGAATCAGCTTGGAAAGATATTGACAGCTATTCAGGTTAGACATTGGAGACTCCATCAAAGCTAATCTATTATCCCAACTGCAAGCTCTATGCTTGCGCAGGACACTAGGACATCTAGATCTAGAGGATGGTTGTACAGTAGTGATAGGTTGTTTTAGAAGTAGTGACCCAGGACTAGGGGTGATCATTTCAGCCTGGCCTGGAAATTCCGACCTTGGGCCTGGGTTTTGTGTTCAGGCCCAGGCCCGCAGATTTTAGGGCCGGGCTTGGGCTTAATACTTCAAGCCCGGCCCGCATATATTTAAACTTACACATTTTGTGTATAATGTATACATATGTATACATGTTATTTTATATTATATTATATATTTATATATAAATATTATAACATGACATGTATAATTTATATTAAATGTAATATTTTACATTATATAATATATAAAATAAAAGTTTATATGCATGTTATGCCATTTAATATAAAATATTATAGATATGTAATGCTTTATATATGAAAGACATTGGCCCAGAATCAGGCCCGGGCCCGTTTAGACCTGGGCTACGGCTTATGTTTCAGGCCCCGAACCCCGGGCCTGGGCCTAAGCTATAGCCCTTATCATAAGTGCAAAGCCCAGCCCGGCCCAGCCCATGATCACCCCTACCCAAGACCTTGGCAGTTGCAACGGTTAATTGGAGAAATTAGGAAAACTTAACTTCTATAACTAAATGGATGTCTCATCTGGATGCATAGAAATACCAGCTAATTCCTTAGTTGATTCACTAGTAAAGGAAGGGGCAGCAAGAGTTGACTTGTATTAGGGACCTTGCCCTAGGGCAAAAGACTGTACTTTTGAGTAATTGGGTTTTACTGTAGGATTGAGGTAAAGTGGCACTTGTTGGCCTCAAAATGTTTGTTCTGTTACCTATCAAAAAAATAAATCACAGCAAATGCATGAAATCAACATTATCATTTCATCACCATCAGGATCTGACTTATTCCACCTATGTGGTACAGTTTGTTAATCAACATCATTTTGATCACTTCAGTCCAACAGATATTCAAATAGTACCTGCAGTACAGACTGCCCAGTAACATCATCAAGATTGAGCAAACCATCAGATGCAGCAGCAAGTACTTCTGCACAGAGCTTTGCAGAAGTAGCCAAAAGGTGCTCTGGAGCCATTTGTTTCAGCAAAGAAACATAAACGTGCATCCGTTGTGACCTAGACTTTTCATCATTGCCTCTGCAGCAAACAATATTACTACATAAAGTCAATCATTATTCGCAAGACGATTATTTTGTTTGGCTCCAATTCCATGACAACCTTACCGGATTGAGAAGAGCCGGCTGTCCGTTCTCACACCTTGAGATTCACTGTGTCCAGCATGTGCATGACAGTCATTCAAAACAAATATGGCCTCAACAAAACTGTTATATGCCAGAAGTGGTGCCTTTGCTGCTAAAATCATGCAAATGTCAATAACTGTAGACAGATGGTTCACTTATATGGACATATGCATGCACAGTCTCATAGACAAACATACAGACTCAGACATGCATGCAAGAAAGTCCAATGGCCTTCTCATAGATGTAACATGTCAAATTATTTGTGAGAGTGCCTTAACCTTTCAAGATGTTCCCAAAGAGAAAATCTGCTAGCTGCCTGATCTTCTCTGATTCATCAACAAGGGACAAGAGAAATCGAAGGAAAAGCACTCCTCTCCACTTCACATAGTCCCTCTGTGGGTGAGGATAATAAGTAAAGGATTATGTCATTTTCCACCTAAGGAAAATTCTCATTAAATCATTTTCCACAAAAATAACCTTCTAGAGAAAATAACATAATGAAAACAACAATCTTAAGGTCAGGGCCCCAGAAATATATTGACCTGCAATAATCTTGAAAGTAGTACAAATGTTTGTCTTCTAACAACTTCACATGGATCACGCAGGCACTTGGTGATCTTGGATATGTAACTGAAAATTCAAGAGCAATAACTACTTAAAAGTCAAGCAGTGGATGAAAACCTATATGGGTTTGTGTCCTATGGCCTCACCAATCAACAAGAGCAGTGTATCGCACACAAAAATCTGCCATCATCACCACAATGTTGTTGCGAAGTGCTGCAGAGTCACTCTTCTCAAGCTCCTGCAGCACAATTCCTAATGATTAGGTAAAGGTGATTTCAGAACCATGCCAAACAAACAATATAGGACCAAGAGCAGAACCTGGACAAAAAGAGGGATATAACGCTTTGCAAGTTTCCCATCTGCAAGGCATAACTTCCCCATCGTTAGCCATGACTGATTATAGAGAGAAGGGGCTATCTGCTTTATGGGAATTGCAGAGCCAGGTAATCTTTTCACTTTTAATTCAGAAGTCTCTGATGTGATAATGGTGTGTAAAAGTGGAAGAATGCTCTTTAAATCTGCAGAAGGACAAACCAATACCAATGATCCAATAGTATATACAGCGGTGACAGTTCGTAATAAGGAGGGAGACGTGGCTGCTACTCTCTTTCCCTTTCTGTCCCCAGTTCTAGGTGGTGTAAAAAAGCTATTCAATTTGCTTACTTCTGAGGCCTCTGAAATGTAGGTTTCAAGAACTTTTAATGCTTTAGAGAGCAACTGGTTTACCCATCTTAAGACAAGGTTGTCGCCCTCTTCAGGACTCAAAGCCTTTCGTTTACACAAAGTTCTGAGGGCTTTTACATGAGCATTTACCTGCCACAACATATATGAAATGGTTATGTAGATAGGAATCAAACAAAACTCTAACTGCACAAAGGAAGGGCAATATATATGAATCAATTGTGCCCCCTTCTACTTTTGTTCTAACACACCCAGGTAGGAAGTCGTTAAGTGAATTCTGATGAATCTTAAAAAGAAAGATTCATCTGGAATTAGTGGAGGTGCTGCAATAACGAGTCCAGATCTAGTAGGCACAGCATTGTAAGCATGTTCAATGAGCACTTAATAAATATTCTGACAACTGCATCAAAAGTTGTTTTTAATCTTTTTCAAGGGCAGCCTGGGGTATTTTAAGGGACAGGTGTCAAAAATTTTCATGTGTACTCAATGTGCTCACCATGTGTGCCTACCTGATCCGGACTGTGCTACAACACCTTGTTGCAATGATAAGTGAGCAAGCATTCCTACACTTTGATGAATTTGTGCAAGTAAAGAAGTTAGTCCAAGAGAAAAAGATTCATCTAGCAGCAACAAGGAACCTAATTTAAAGCCTACAGTTCAGTGAACTAGACAAGTATTACATGCAACAAAACTTAAGACCATTGTGAGCTTAATTATTTAAGCTAACTAAACAAACATGTGTGTTTGTTGAAACTGTAGAGAATGAGTTATTTACATATTGCTCTAGATAGAAACATGGGTCTATGAATCCAGACAAGAAATACCTCTGTTGAGTGCATGTTGAACTCCTCAATCCGCTTCAGCAAGTTATGAGCTAACTCTGCTGCAGGCTCTGGGGGCAGCTCCATAGAAACATTAGAAATTGTCTGCAAGAGGAAAACACGATCTCCTGCCCAGGCAGTTGAATTGATTTCAATGCCCTCAACTTGTTCATCAGTATTTCCTTGCAAAAGTGGGCTGCGAACCTCACCATCTGGTGAAGTCTTGTCAAGGAGCTGCCAGTGATGATGGAGAAAATCCCAGCCCACCGCTTTTGGCAGAAATGCTGACACCTCAGATAAAAGAAACCAAGCACCAGGAGGAGCAGTCCACTTCTCTATTGGCATAGAATGGCTCAACCAGAGAGACTCAGATGTCCTTATAATGTTTTGGAGTGCAATAGCAATAGTAGGTTTTAGTCGTTTCTTCTTTCCAAGGCTTGCACAGATTTTTTTCACACAAGGCATGACCTCTCCATCGGAAATCTCATTCAGTAGAACCAACACTCCTTCAGGAAAAGACAAAGCAATTTTCTTTTCTAAATTTTTCTTCCCTGCATCCAGATTGGAACAACAATCTCTGATATGACTCAAACCTGAAGATCCAATTCTGGATACCCGATCCAAGACCAATTCCAAAAATAAATTCTCACATTCCTCCTGAATGCTGGATTCATTGTCAGTTATTAAGCGTGGAACAGATTGAAGCCACTCAATGACTACACCTCTGTCAGAGAATTTTCTAAATACCTACAGAGACAACTAAGAATTCGAAGTTTAAAAAAAAAAATGCAGGAAGAGAAACTTTAGACCAGAAGCACAAAATATATGCATAAAGGGGATACAAAAGAACCAGAGAGAGAGAGAGTAAAATAAAATTGAGCAACAACTATACCTCTGATAAAGCTGACATTGCTGTTTTCCGAATGCTAACAAGAGGGTCTGAGCAAGCAATACCCATAGTTTTGAGCACGACTTGATCCACAGGCCTTCCTAGTAGTGCAGTCGATTTGGTAATTAAAAGAAGGGCAGCTTTCCTAACTGCTGCCTTCTCATCCATGCACCTTTTCCTAAGAAGTGTAGTTAGACCCCCATCCATATTCTGCCACTCAGCGTTCCCCAAACCCACCAGTTCTTCCAAACGAGCTTGGCTTCTAACATCTGCAGATAAAAATCCCACCACCTGTGCCAGGTTCGATAAAGCCCGAGCTCGAATTCCCGCAACTGCATCTGAACAACGCTGAATCAGAGCAACCAAACACCTTTGCCCCCAACAATCTTTAGCCTCCTCATCTCTGTTTACCCCCAATGGATCCGGAAATGACATCAGAAACATTGGTATAAGATCGACAGCTAGTAGCCTCAGGTTGGCCTTCCCCTGAGTCATCTTCACCGTATAATCCATAAAGCCAACTTGCTCGTCGAATTCCATTGCTCGAACTATCTCCATTATTGATTCCACGGCAGAAGCACGGGGCTCTGACCTCTCGGGTGCCTTTTGGACCAAGTACCTAGGGAGATACGCAATTGCTTTCCTGACAGCAGCAGAGTCTTTAGCTGCAGTCATCATCTGATGTGTCACAAATCTCAATGCTAATGCTCGGGCCTGCGATTTCAGTAAAAGAATTGCCGGAGACAGCGATTTCAACACTTCAGTGGCCGCGATGGTCTGGTCTCCATGCTCGGTCTTCAAAACCCCATTCAATATCCGGAAACACAGGTCAGACAACCTCTGGTAGCTAGCCGAATTGTCGAATGACTCGAGCGCCATAACTGGGATTTCTGCCACAGTTTGAATTAAAGACTTCAAACTGTCCGGGAACCGATCGAGATGAATTCGGCACAACACCGAATCTAGTCTTTCGAGGATAGGGAATAGAACTCTAACATCAAACCGGTCCCCATCACTTTCAACATCGTCCTCAGTATCATTGACAGTATTGCGAAAAGCCTTACCCCTCCCACCGCCCTTTCTCTTTCTATTCGTCTTATTGATTCCGGCACTATTGTCAAGTGCTGCCGTAGACGGTGGGACAGATCGATGCTGCTTGAAAGATCGTCTGATAGAACGAAGGAGCGAAACGAACGCGATAGGAGTGAACAAAGTAAAAACGGGAGAGTTTGGAGATAGGAGAATCGAAAGATAAACTTTGGAAGCTAAGAGAGTGACGTCGGTAGGTCCGGAGTCCATGGAAGCTGTGATCCGACTAACAAGGAATGCCGGAGAGATGTTCTTTGACGCTAGCTCTTCCCACAGGCGATCGATGTCGTCGGTATCGTCGGCGTCGACTGCATTGTCGGCCAGGGTTTGTAAATCTAAGAGGGCTGATCTTGAAATGGGCATTTCTGAATCTGTGCCATTGAGGCCATGGTGGGTTTCGAGCTCTGAAGCTATTCGGGAGATGATTTCTTCCATTGTTGAGGCCTAAGTTCTCTGCATTCTGAACCCAACACTAACACGGCGTTTCTAGTCTCTCAGTCTCCCCCTCTCCCTCCATCCGATCTTCGAATTTTCGGCATTCCCGCCAATTGAAGGCGGTGGTTCGGACAAAATAAGGCTGCAAAAGGGTCCAATGGATCGGATATCAGTATATCCAAATTTGATTAATTTGTATTCAAACTAAAACCAGTGAATAGTGAACGACCCCGTATTTAGTACGGAAAGTTAATTATATATATATTATATGAATCAACATTAATGATTTTTATTATCATTTTTTATTACTGTTTATAAATGTCATTTTTTAAGACATTTATACAGCCTACGGGTTCACATAAATTCACCTTTATATGTCAAACCCATAAAATTATACGGGTCATTAAATTCAACTTTAACTGTTTATTACTTTAATTTAACTATTCTCATTATTATTATTATTAGTAGGGACCCCTTAGATGCATGGAAAAATCTGAAAGATTTAATAATTTTATTTTTTATTTAATATTGATTTATAAAAAATAATAATTGTTAATTGAATATGAACAAAGAGAGGCAAAGTAACCACTCATGAATGTCGGGCGAGTTTAGGGGCAAAGCACCGCACTCCTTATCAAAGACAAATAATCCTCGAATTTCCCTACCTCGTCCCTAGTATTGGGCAGGTTCAAGTAGAGATGTAAATTGCGTCACGTTGAGTCAGTACAACACAACCCACACGTGGCCCACACAAAGTGCGAGTCGTGTCGTGCTGGCTCATGAGGCGTCCCAGGTTGTGTCTCCCTCTTCTAGGATAATTTGGGGGGTCGGGTCGGCATGACCCACGGCTCGAGCCTGCATGAAGCCGTGTTGCGCCGTGGGTTGAGCTGGTCCATGGGTCGAGCCTTGGGCCAAGTTAAGCTTAAGGCAAGGCACCCACTCCCCGTCCAAGCTTTTTAAAATTGGACTAGATAGGGTGAACCTTTCTAGGGTCGAACAATTTGACTGTTTGGTCCAAATGGATGACCCGCTTTGACAAAAAAATAAAAAATTAGAAAAACAAAAAAAGGCCAAAATTTGTTCTTTGGGTTGACGGTTCGACCGCCCAGATCAGTGGTTCGCTAACCAAATAAACTATAAAAAGCGGTTTTGAGGTGAAACGGTTTCAGGTTCCCAATTTTTCCAATCTAACCATCTTGTTTGATCCAGTTTTAAAACATTGTCCCCGTCAACCCAATATTTAATTTGATGTTAAAAACGATCAAAAGGATATATCGAGTATCAACCACATGGTAAATTTCTAAAAGCACACTAAATTATCTTTAATATTCAAAAATGTAATTTTAAGAAAATTTTGGAAAATTTATTATACTTGTGCAATTTTGAAAATTTATTCAAATTTATATAAATTTTTATTAAATAATTTATTTACTTTTAAATGGTTTACTTACAAATTATACTCATTTATCTTATAATTTCTAATATAAACTAACCAATAATTTCCTTTTTTCAATATTATACTAATTTGTCTTAATAATTTGTGTAATTATTTGTTCAAGTTATAGTTTTCCATTCCCCATTGTAATTATTTGTTCAAATTCTAGTAATTTTTAATAATTATTTAATGCATTTTAAATAAACTTTCAAATACTTTATATCTTTTAATTTCAAAAATATTATTTTACGAAAATGTAGGTTTATGAAAATTTTATTACATTTGTGTAACTATGGGGATTTATTGATTTTTTTTTAAATTGTTATTAAATATATTTTTTTATTTGGTAGTTTACTAACAAAATTACACTAATTTATCTTTTATTCTTCAATATAAATTAGTTAATAATTTCATTTTCTAACATTATAATATTTTGTTCCCCCATTTGTGTTTGGTTATTAATTATAATAATAACAATAGCTAAAATTGTATACTTTTTGATAATTGCTAAATATAATTATCAATTTTATAGAAATTATTTGAAGAGTTTTCAATTTCTATAAAATATTGTTGATGAGTTAATTAATAACAATATTTATTAATTTTTGGTAATTTACTAACTGTACTAATAAGAATATTTAATTTTTGGTAATTTATTAGCTGCATTTATTAACTTTTGGTAATAACACTATTTAATACTCATTGAATATAGGTGTGACTAAATGAGATTGGGGGGGAGATGCATTTTAGGAATTGATTAGGGAGTGGGGCAACATGATACTTTTCTATTGGTTTAAATGAGATACCTTAGGAGAGAGAATATAGGAATACTTTTAGGGAAAATTCCCGATAGGTACCTATACTTTAGGCTAAGTGCCAATTTAGTACCCAAACTTTAAAATGCGACAATCTAGTACCTAGACTTTTATTTTGCGACAATCAAGTACCTACCGTTAATAGACCATCAATTATGTATATCACATGATCTCATGTGCGATTTAAGACTTTTAAAAATATCAAATTTACCCTTGAACACTATTCATCATCTTCATTCTCAGGAAAATGAAGCAGAGCCCAAACACACTGTTCATCTTCTTATATCTCAAGAAAACGAAGATCAAGTTCCAGGAACCTAAAGAGTGGAATGTTGGAGAGTAGGACCACTACTGCTCCCTCAGAAAAAAAAAAAATCTATATATTAAAAAAAGAAAAGAAAATACGCTACTTTAATACTTTGCTTGGGGGTGTAGGAAGAAGAAGAAACAGAGATGATGGTCATATCAATTTTGCTCAGGTTTCCTGGTTGACTCAAATGCATTTGCTGAGCAGCGAAGGACATACAAATGTAAGTAAGGGTAGATGTATCGATCAAAGAAAAGAAAAGGAGAAGGAAAAGAGGAAAGGAATCCATCCATTCATAAACGATGGTGGAAGAGAAGAGCATTGAAGATGAGCTATGCTCTCAAATCCTACTCGCTGAAAGAGTATAAAAAGCTCAAGGAGGATATCAAGTTCACTTTCAATCCCACTTCCATTTTCTTCTTGCTGATGAGGTAGTGCAGACGGCAATGGAGGCTGTTGTTGAACCACGTTATTGGCGAATGGCGGTAGCCAAGTCGGTGGTGGCGATGGTTATTGAATCACACTGAGGAACATGGTCGGGAATTATTTTGCACCTTGAAACATTCTACCGGAAGAAGGTAACGATTGAGGAGCAAAACCAGGAAGGAATGAGCTCATCAACTCCGAAAATGGAGAACATTTCCTTGTCGTTGTTAGTGTTTCCTTGCCCTTATGTGCCTTATCCATCGACGTGTAGCTACCATTGATACCATTTGATGGTCTACCATTGAAATGAATCATCTGACCCAATCCAACCTACAACTCTCCAGCATCCTCCATCGGAAATCCAGCATGGTTGTTACTGGTGTAATTGAAATTTGGGGCTTGGTTATGCTTTCTGGATTAACCCATATTCTAAAATCTTGGATTGATACTGTTGTGGTTGTGCTTGTATAGGTTCAATAATGTGTCGACAGAATATCTCGGTTGCATCTGAGATCGTTGAGGGTTCATCTGCATTGTATTTGTACCTTTTCACAGTGAGGATGAAATCATTCCAACATAGTGCGGTTTCATTCGTTGATTAAGAGAAGGTGTAGAGCCAAGAAAAGTGAACTTGATATGCTCTTCAAGCTCGACTGCTCTGAAGTAGGTAAGCAAGTCGACAGTCTCTACCAAATGCCTTGCTCTGCCATCCGACTCGCCAACTCCAACCCTTCTCTTTATGAACGTCCTGTCCATTGTATCGTCGCCAAAGTCTCCAAGAATCTCGAACGTTCCTTGGCTCTCATCCGTAAGTGCAAGCGCAGCGGCGTCCTCCGCAAAGTCGTCACCATTACCAGTACCACCGATTTTCCACAAGCTCTTCAACCTCCTCAACGCCTCCATTGGCGACATGAAGTGGCTCTTCAACATCTTAGACTCCTACGGCTCCGGTGGCGGTACCCTCCCCCCCCCATCGCTAGCAACGACCCTATCCTCTCTACGTTTGGTCCTTCGTTGCCACCATTCAAATGGGTCCTCTTCCCGAACGAGTGAAGAATGCCAACGAAATCGCCTCACTCGCCCGTGACAATGACTACAACAAGAAAATTATTGTCGAAGAAGATGGGGTTCTCCCTCTACCGAAGCTCTTTAAAGAATGGGCCTCCCTCGTGCAAAATCACGATTCCGAGCAAAACCAAGAAGGATGGTTTCAATCCCACTTCCATTTTTTGTCAGATTCCAAAGCTACACAGAAAAAATCATTAATGGGATGATGGCTCATAGGATTGGAGAGTATAGCTTTTGAAGGGCATTTTTGTCTTTTTGTATGCTACTTAACGGATGATCAACTCTGAATACTAGATTGTCGCAAAATAAAAGTTCGGGTACTAGATTGTCGCATTTTAAAGTTTGGGTACTAAATTAGCACAGAGCCTAAAGTACATAGTACCTATCAGGAATTTTCCCATATTTTTAGGTAGTTGGGTGGCATGTCTTAATGGGAGTGGTAGGAATGGGAGAGGATAAAAAGTCAAAGAGAATGTAGGGTGGGGATAATGGAGCAATGAGAGGCATGGTGACAGGCCCTGTGCTTTGTTAAGAGAAAGTTAAACAATAGAAATACATAAGAGTATATAATTGTTTTATATTTTAACTTTTTAATAAACAATCCGATCAAACTTAACCCGAGTTGGTCAGTTTTATAGTATTTCAGATCGGATTTGGTTTAATAAATATATATTAATATTTTAAATTTTAAATTTAATTTTTTAATAGGAATGTAGGAAAATTCCCATATTTGTTAGTCTAAAAGATTTTATATCATAGATTAAATTTTTGTAATTTATTTTTAATATCATTGTAATTTATGAAATTTAAAGTTAATTTTTAAGTTTAAATCTTTTGAACAAACAAACTAAACTGAAAATAGACCCAAATCGATACAACCTGAGTTGGTGGGTTTTCACTAATGGTCAATTGGTTTCAAGTGACAAACTTTGGACTTGACTAAATAGATTTGGTTGCGAAACAGCTTGCAACTGAACTGAACCAATCATTGAACACTCCTAAGTTCAACTAAATTTATAGTCTAATATCTAATAAATAACAATAGTTTAATCTCCAATAATTATTGAAAATTTATAACAAACGTACACAATCATTG